CTAAAATTTTCAATCTCAAAGCAACATTTCTATTAAGTTCAGTGCAATCAATCTTTTCATCTAAATTGTGGCGTAGCGTTTCAAATCGATTCAAGAGGGGACACGAAACCGCTGCACGTTGAAAATGTCAGAAAAATAAAACTTTGTAAGAACCGTTTTGATTTATTTTTGCTCGGAACTATATCGGAGTCATTCATGGAATATTCCAAGTACCAACTTAAGTATGATAAATCCAGATATTTGACTTATATCACTCAACAGGCTCACCATCACAAGCACCTTACCAAATTTGTGCAATTTTCATTAAGATGAAAGCCACTTCTAGTTATTCTATATCAATTTTCCATGTTTTAATGAGAGACGGCATATATTTGTGTGGATTGATTATTGCAATGATAATTCAGTAAAAACATTTTTCTGTGTGATCCTAGAAACACTAAATCTAAAGGATTGAGAAATTCCCAACGATTACACATTTCTCGTCACACAGAGAATTCGTGTCATTATTGATATATTACGTTTTAAATTCTCTAACTAAGAAAGCTGAGACGTCACACAAATGTGTTTATTGGTCAAAAAGTTATTTAATGTAATTGCATGATGTGTTGATTGACAGATTGGTTTGAAGCACAAACTCGTTACCAACATTAACATATTTCCCTCTCAGTGTTTTGCCAAAAACTTATTAAATAACATTTTTGCACAGATTTCTTTCATCTCGAAGTCATTGGTCAAAATCTGATAGAGTTAGCTATGTAAGTCAAATATCAGTCGAATCAGAAATTTCCGAATTATGTTCAAAATTTCATCAGTTCATGAACACAAAGAAGAATCTTAGCGCCTGACAAAACATTGTCTTCTTACATTTGTTGAACTTTTGTAAAAAATAAGCTTGCTAACGATAAACAATGGCAAATTATTCAATTACAGGTTTTCCAAGCGAACCTAATACCAAGGGAATACAGCACTACCTAATTATAGAAAGCCTATATTGATCAAATACTGGATAACAAGTTGAAGAGTAAGTAACACTAGTTTTGCTATATATTTGCTTATGATTGCAATATAAGCTGTAAAACCCTTGTTTAAGATGGACGCATGATGTCCATAATATTTCAAGTGGTAGGTCCATTTTAGTGGATTGAGAGGTTTGAACCATGCAAAAGTATTAGCAGAAACAGGTTAGTTATAGTAAATTTTCTATCTTTACTGGCAAAACTGCCTTTGTCCAAATGAAATAAAACTTTTTGATAGCACAGGGAAGAAGATAAACACAGAGACAAACAAAAATATCATAGAGATATTAAAAACACAGAAACTGTAAATATCATTTCGATGGAAGAAACAAGCCACAAAGATGTTCTGACAATAGAAAATAATCAAAGTTACAATCAAACTTTAGTACCATTATTTTTCAGTCATTTTATTTTTGTCAAAACGGAGATATCCATAAAGAATACATTCCAGCAAGCTTTATGGTAAACATACGTTTTTGTTACCTACAGTATCTGGCCAGAATATAGGTACATTTTGTATTAATACAACTGTTGCTATTTTGCGGCTTCGTGAATCCCATAAATAGCAGAAATCATTGATTTCATTTACTTTTGGGAGTAGTGGTAAAAACTGAGAGGAGACAACATAGAATGAGAATTGATGGCATTTTACAATCCACAAATGATACTTACAAACCTATTGAGCCATCTAAAACGTCAAGTAAATATTATTGAATAAAAACTTATCGTTTTTATTAGGATGAGAAACGATAAAATTAATACGATTTAATAATAATGTGACATTTATATAAAAAAATGTTAAATAAGGTAGTTTGAATTTGCCAAAATTAGGTTGTGACAGATGCTTGGCATCAATATTTTTCTAGCCCATATCTCAACATTTTTAGTTATCACCACATCATCTCTTCCATCACGCGATAACTACAATGTCTTTGTTCAATGTTTTTGTTACAATTTCCTCGTCATGATTTCTGAACTAACCTTGCATGATTTTTGACTGGAGTTATCTTGCATCTTATCTAACACTCGTTTAGTCTTTGCTATATCTCGCAGTCCCGTGTGTAACTTACATCATCTATATTCGTTTGTTTAATTCCTATCTCGCCTCTTTATGCGGCTCTTCCCAACCATTCCTTGTTGTTGTAGTAAGTTCCTTCTTATGTATAGCGCATTTTCTCGATCCTGTCTAATTGTCTAAATCTCTAATTGTTACTACTTCTGATCTTTGTATTTTATCATTTTTTTCCTCCTCCATGTCTCTCCTTGTTTCAATCATGTTTTATATTACCTCTTATGCGTTCCTTCTATTTCAATTTCTCCATTTATGACATCATCAACAAACACCTTCACGACTTTCTTCAAGCTATTGAGCATTTTGATTAAGGCCTTAATCTGCTAGAGGACTTTTTAAGAAAAATGGAGAAATATTGTACTAAAAATATGGTTATCATAAACAAATTGATTCGTTTTTCATGGTTAATATAATGATGTTTATTCATTGCCAAAATCATGTATTAACAAACATAGGTTTCACTTTCAGTCTCATTGATTTAAGAAGCATAATTAAACAATTTGTAATGTTTCGCAAATTGCTTCACTTACTTTCTTCTCAAATATCAAAGTTGTTAGCAAAAACATACTGAAGAATTAGATTAATGCCTATAAATTTGTATCTAGTCATTTATATAGCAACTTTAATTCGATTTAATTAATTAACATAACTAGATAAAATCATTGATAAAGATTAGCTTGTAAACAAAATCATTTAAAGTAGTAGTAACTTTTATCAAATAATATCTACACACCCATATTATAACTTCCTGTATATTACCCAACCAACCATGTTACAACAAAACGAGTAAAATAATAATAATTCACAGACATTCCACGCTTACATTTACAAGCCTGACAAACTTAATTAACGACGAGCAAAAACCGACAGAAATCCTTATCTGGCGGAGATGAAGTCGATAATTGACGTGTGGCAAAAGTGCTGTTGCGATTGCAAACGGTGATCTAGCCGATGAGATAACGCACATATAGCAGACAAAGATACGGTGACTGAGCAGGAGACCTCGCGCGCAGGGATAAGTAAGCGAAAGCTCAAGCTAATTAATCAAACTCATATTATACGAACTGGTAATTGCGCAGACAGCGATTGTAATTAATTCGCCAATCGATGTCGTTTACCAAGTTTTTTTTCTTTATGCGTATAAAAACTTTTTTGAAAATCATAACCCAGATTGGTGTGCATAATACAAAATACATAAACATTAAAATGTGTTTTAAGATTAAAATTTTTATGAGATTATAAATTGGTTTGAATCAAATGAAATAATGTAGGACCGGTTATTTTAGACTTGGAATTCTAAACGGTTCTGTACACAAGCTCGTAATAGAGGAATAAAAGTAGAAATAAAATCTGATACTATACTCCTCACAGGACCAATTAGAACGTTTTACGTTTTTACTTAGCGCTCTCTCTACAGTTTGCCGAGAATTAATTTAGGAATTTTTCGTATGTGGTTAATTTGGAGGACGCGATGTCCTTTTTGGATTCTCTTTTATCACTATAGATCGAGAAAGCAATAAAAAATTTTTAAAAAAATCTACTCAGATTTTATGACTTTTTGAACGACCGCGCTTAGTTTTTATTTTCTAACACAACATAAAAACCACTAAAATCTAAAATAAAAAAACACATTAAATTGTGAAGATGGATTGAAAAAAAATTGAAAGAAAAACTTACAGTTTTAAAGTAGCAATAAATAATTATTTACTTATTGAAACCAACAAACGTTTTGCGATTTCGACATGGTCTTTCCGTTAATTGTGAATGAAATAGCATTTACAATGATAGTAACACGGTTTGATTGGGATCGATTGATCTGACGGATTTGATTTGTTGAACATTGGCTTTGCTTCTATAATTCTCGTTACGTAATGTTGTTTTAACATTGTATTGGGATATAACGCAATAGAAGAAACTAATTCGTTAATTATTATTCAAAAAGAAAGTGTTGAGTTTTATTTAAAATTTATTTTATTGTGAAAAAAAAATTAAATTGCATAATCAAGAATTAAAAATTTAAATATCATTTAAGATAGAAATCACAATAATTTTATTTTTAATTGCTTTATATCAAATCATTTTTATTTATATTTTTGAGATTATCTCAATAAATAAAAGTTATATTAAAAAAACATTCAAACAAAATTTTTTTAGAATTATATCATTAATAATGTTTGTTTCAAAAATTTTTTTAAATTTTTTGTGGAAAACATTAATTTACTCCTTTAAAGCGATTTCAATACATAGTTGCAATTCAAGGCTTATTATTGTTTTAATTGAATGTCTAATACAATATTTGCTTATAAACTGGTTTAAAATCGATCGTTTAACACAAAACATTCGATATCTTCCCCTTCTTAGGTGGCATTTTTGAGGTTATCCCAATAATTAATGGATGTATCAAAAAATTTCCCAAATAATTTTTCTTTAGAAAATAATCAGAAATAATTTTTGTTTGAAAAATTTTTCAAAATTTTTGCTAGATAACGATATTTACTCGTATTAAGCGATTTCCCTGTGAATAGTACGGCAACTCAATGCAACTCAATGCAACTCAATGCAATTCATTGCAATTTAACGCATTTTTCAATACAAACTACGGAAACAATTATAAACTCTCATTACGAACATGTATCATCTTCTAATTCGCATAAACAAGACATTTTAAAGTTTTATTTTGATTTCTATTTTAGTTTAGTTGCTTTTCCACTTAACTATATGGGTTAACTAACATTTACAAGATTATACACAATTTTAATAAAGAAATATCAGTCAATTTCATAATCTATAGGCAACCGATTTCGAATTAATACCATCATCAGGTCCTTCCTATACAACCCATATATTATTATTTAGATCATAAAAATTAATTTATCAATTAATTTTTGTGTTATTTTTTTTTGAAAGCTTACCTGAACTAGCTTCACCAGTACTTGAATCAAAAGTCTTAGAAGTCATTTGAAAGAGTGCATCCAAAGGAGTCCCTCCTGGTTGTTGTTTCTGTTGTTGATTTTGCCTTTGTCTTTGGTGCGCGGAATTCTGTAGAATATCCGGCGAACAACAGTCACTGGCCACACTAGAAGACCGGTCACTACCAGTTTCTGACGCGTAACTAGCATTAGCGAAGTTCGCGAATTCCGGTCTAAGAAGCGCGAGCTGTTGGGCTTTTAGGTGCCGATGAAAACGTTCGAAACTTTGTTGAGCTTCAATTTCCGGATCCAAATCCCACGGTCTCACGATTTTTGTGGTACCACCTTGTGATTTTGAAGATGGTCGATGGTTGAGGATGTCCATTATGGAGAAACTTTTAACTCCAACAGCTCCTCGATCTTCAACTTCCACCGTTGGTGATATTCGCCTTTCAACATCAATGTTAACCATTTTGAGTCGTTTTAATGGTTTGAAATAATCTTCACCGTCCGAATGATCTTCATGGTGGTGATGATGATGTCTGTATGTTGTTGGACTGGCAGTCATTCTTTGGGGCGAAGTCAAAGCCGGGGATGGACATCCTACGCTGATTTCATCGTCGGATAAGAACTTGTTAGTTGAATCTTCGTGGACCGTTAGATCAGTTTGATGATTTTCCGGTAAGCAAGGGCTTTGCGATCTACTCGAGCACGGACTCCCGTATTTTGAGGAGACGAGGTACGGAGACATCTCGGACTTTGGGCTGACGACCTCAGTGTCTTGCATCGTTTACCAATTGGACACTATGCACTCTTCCCTTCTCGCGAGCGCGTCAATCCATTTTTTTTTGTCAATTTTTTTACGCACACGCCGAAAAACAAAACAATAACGAGGCCGTTTAGCTTTGAGAAGCACCGAAACACTCCCGCCGCCGTCTTGGATCCGACCTGAAATGAATCCAATCGTAGTTATCCGTGCGAAACCAGTCGGGTGACAGTTCGCCACGCCTCCAGAGGGCGTTGCAAACGATACAGGTCCGGCCTTTAGAGGCGCCTCCAAACCGGTCTTGTTTTACGACCGATGTTTCGGATTGGTGCGGCGTCGCTTTGATGTCTATCCTTTCATGGGATGCCGCACCAATCGGACGATGGACGTCGACCGGCGTCATTTGTTTCACTTGAAATTAATGAGGTTTTGTTTTATAAAAGAGATTTAACATGTGTTTATTGTCGGCGCGGCTGAAATATAGCTCTTTACCGGCACGTAGTTGACGTAGCTTTTTTGCAATTGTTTTCGGGTGGGGCGGGGCAATGGAGCTTTTTGCCTCGACCGCTTTTTGTTTCGGGTTAACGTAATTTATCTCCGAGGGCGCCCCCCCACTTCGGATATTTTTTTGTTGTTTGTTTGTTTTTTCGGGGATCGCTTTGTTGGTGGGATTCGGGACGTAATTGATGCCGGTTTAAAAACGAAAAGGTAGTTGTGTTTTCTAAACTCGTTGTCTGTTTGAGTTATTAACCAAGTAGGTGCTTAGTTTTTATCATCATTTTTTTATGCACGATTTCTGACATCTTCAGGAATTATTAATTATTAATGCAACTATTAGTTCCATAACCGCATTTCGTTTCTTGATAAATTGATGAAGTCGTGGCACGTTTAATCTTTCTCTACTACTATTTCCTCCTATTCACATGCAAATGATCTCATTTCAATTTCATACGCAACTCCAATTACACGCATAGTTGAAGATATTCGTCGGTGTTTTAGATCGTCTACATATAAACTACATCTTGTTGTTGCCTAGTAATTAAATCATCTCACAAAGCTGTAGTACCACACCCAGCCCACACACATACCCCATTGAATATTAAAAACTAGACTTTGTAATTACTCAATATACCCTACAGCCGGTAAACAGTAATAACCCAAAATGCTTTTATCCGTCTCACTTCTTCGATTAGTCTTTTATGGTAACCATTGGTTTCAACGTCAGCTGGAAGTGGAAACGATTAATATATATCAGAAAACTGCTTGGGGTGTCCTTTTGATGTGTTAATTATTTTTTTTTAATTTACTGCATTTACTAGAAATTACATCAAAAACTAGTAGGTATTTTTTCTTGAGATATTATTTAGTCAGTAAATTTTGCAAGAAGATTGTAAAACATTAAATTATTTCCAATATTAATGCGTTATTTCAATGTTAACGAAGGGATTAAAATTAAAATTTTAAATTTTGTTTCTTTGAAATTTGAAACGCCTAAATTAATTGCAAATTCCTTTCTAGAAATATTAATAATATGTAAGGTATTTCACAAAGCTATTGGGTAAAGTTAATTCTAATTTTGCCCCCTTGAATAGTTAATTAAATAAAATATTTTTTTATTTTAGGTTTAAGATTTGGTAAATTTGCTAAAAATTTGTAACCCACGGACAGGAACTCCACGTCGTGAAGAGTAGCAAAACAGCTTTACTTTTTTCCTGGCAATAAGAAACAAGAACATCATTGATGAATTTATTGGTCTAGTCTTGTTTGGCATCATCTGGAGAAATTTCTTTTTTATTTTCCCGCATGTTCCAACAAGTGTGATTGGATTTTATGCAACTGCTTTGCTAAAGGGTAACTTGTGGACCAGTTATCTGCTGCCAAATTTTTCTTTCAAGGGCAAAATCTGTCAACAATATCCATAAATTTATTAGAGACAACTTTACGACTTTATACATATTGATCTTTCTGAATTTCAGTGTAAAAATTTATACATGCCAAATAATGAACTAATTGATTTTTACAGCCAGAACTAAAGATAATCGATGAGGTAAACAACTGACATGATTTTTTACTTTGGGTGATAAAGCGATTATCAAAGCTGATATATCAGGAAAAAGAATGCTCCCAAACGCATGCACTATGTAATTTTCGATTGGACATGGACAAATTCACAAGTCTTGGGTTTGATGAATAATGGTTGAAAAATACACACAGACTTAGATTAGAGTAGCTAACTTATGCTTACTTCAGGACAATTTTGAATTATTGTGCTTCAAGTACTAAGAAAATCCTTAACTTTTTTTTGAAAAAAAATGTTTCAAGGAATATTAGTAGCAAATTTAACACTCTTATGCAAAACGAGACCGTTGGCAAAACATAAAACTATCCGAATTTTTTACGAAAATATTGTCAAAATATATGACAATTAATATTTTGTTACTAATCGCTATAGTTGAGCGGCGCCACAAGTAGGCGGATGCCTGCTACGTATACAATCCTATACAATTCTATAAGTCAGAAGATTAACAAATATATTGGTAGAAAGTAACTAATTTATAGACGACAGTATGAGACCAAGAGCTAATAAGAGCAAAGTAGAGTTTCATAACGTAGCATACATTTTCTTGGTCTTAAGAAGCACATAGCAATTATTGAAACGTTTCATGAAAAATTCAGAAGCCATCATGGAACACATTTTGTAAGCATTTATCAAGAAGTTAGTGAATTAGCCAATGAAATAGATCAAATTAATAACTAACCAGATCGAAGAAGATAAGCTCCTTATACCCTTAGAGATAGCTGCAGCTGAAATTTTTAATATCCATAATTCTATACATTTGTAAAAAACTGGAACATAGTTACAATATTGACAAGGGTGGCATATTATAACAAATTTAACACAATCATGACACTTTGAAGAAAACATGAAGGAACCTAATTTATTTTCTTGCAGGATAACAATGCAATTGTTGCTTTTATGACTTTTCCTCAAACGATTTGTTATTGAAAGAAGTTTTAGCGCATTAAGAAGACTGTAAAGAAGGTTCAGGTCTACTATAACTAACCAGCGACTAAGTGGATTATGCATGCTAAGTTCTTTTGCGAGAAGGTGAAACATCATGATCAATTTTCTAATGATGTCTTCACATACACTCGTGCTTGTTGTCCAGAAGGAGCTTCTCGATCAATTTTGATTTTATAGGAAACAATGAAATCGGTCTGTAAGACTTGATCATGTTGTTTTTCTGGTTTTGGTATAAATATGATAGCAGATACCTTTCAAAATCTGGGAAAAAATCTTATTCTAAAGGCAGCAGTGATTAAATATGTTTTAGCGTTTCTTAGAACTCATTTAAATACGTTTTCAGCTAGATCAGACCAAGATTTCCTTTTAATATCTTCTTTTATTGCCACATACACCACATTAGGTGTTGTTCGTTTAAACCTTTCTTCTCTTTGTAATCATTTATCCCAGTCTGGTGCTATTTTCATTTGGTTCTAGTTGATTTACATATGTATATTTAAGTGTTTGATTTTGTTTCTAGCTAGTCTTCATGGGTTTAGGATTAAGGCTATTCCTTCCAAGTTTTTTTCTGTAATTAGCTGTAAATTTTTTTTTTGGGTTCTTGATTTCACTTATTCTAGGATTTAATGTAAATATCTCTACTTCTTGTTCTAATTGCATTTCATTGTTAAACTCTTGAAGCTATCCCAATCAATTATGTGTTAACTGTATTCTAGTAATTCAATACAATAAGGTTGGATGATACAATACAAAGTAGATCATTTGATTCTGACTACCATAAAATATAAACGAAAAGAAATAAATCCGTATAAGAATGTTGTCGCCAAGGAAATTTTTTTCGTCGTAGCCGTAACAATACGCAATTAATTCCGGAAATAAGGAATTGTCTGCAAGTCGCGTTTATTATATTACAAAACGTAAAGATGAATAAAACGGACAGTATTTATTGGCCAATATAATGGTCGCGGTGTAAGCAAGATCAAAGGGGCGGCGCGCTTAATAACGATAATGGTAATTAATTAAAGGCGCTTAATGGCGAGCAATTTGAGCGAAAATCAGTCGTAGCTCATTTCGCGGCTTCGCAACTGCGTCTATGTGACGATCACAGTAATCAAGGTTGTAAAACCGTAGTCGTCGTCAAGTTTACATTCGCGGTCTCCGATTGAGGTTCTTTTTTTAAAGCGCGAGATTTGACGGCATTGTTCAATCTTGCTGTTCGGTATTTAGTTTCTCAATTATCAACCGAAACTTTCTACTAATACCTAAGCTCAAGATATTTATCTCTTTCTAAAACCAATTTCATTCACAAAATGAATTTTTTACATCCAACTTTCTGTTTTCTCTTTCTCACTTCATAACTTTTCATTCTTCGTGCACCGTGGCTTGGGTTCTTAGTGGAACAGCTGTATCAGCTGGCAGATTTGGTTCCGAACCGCGCCTCCTCGCTTACCTTTTATTGTAGATCCGGTCCGGTTCGTCGGCTCTTAAAATGGTAAGTGGAAGCGAGAACGAACTATAAGGTGGTGCTGTCGTCCGTATATCAGTACGTATAATTATATACACGAGGGGCACTGGTAAGTGTCAGACCGCACACCTCGATCACGCCTCGGACGGCACACCCCCTTTCACGGGGGTAATTTATACCCTTGTACCCTCTCTGGGGTGGCATACAACCCAAGGCAGTAATCCAAAGAACCGACATCGATTTATAAGTCATCAGTGACAATCTATGTTTCCGTCTAAGATAATTTATAAAAAGAGGAAATAACAGCTTATTTATTTACTTTTTGAAATCCAAAAAAAAATTTGGTGTTAGCTTTTTTTCTTATTTGGTTGCTTATAATACGATGTTATCTCGAGATAAATTATTTTTAAAATCTTCTACAAGAGTTTTTAATCTAATTAAATAATCGCAAAATCTTTCATTATGAGTTTGATTTGCGGTATTGAAAAATCTCTATAGTATATTATGTTGTTTACCACATATAACATTTCTTATTGCTTCAATTACGGATATACAACTCTTTCTGCCATCTTCAATTAAATTGAAATTATTTTATTTTATTATACTTTTACATTGCTTGCGCACCTATTGTTCCTAGTAAAGTGTGTACTTTCTTTTTTTGTCTTTTTTTTCGTCATTTATCCATATC